TGGCTGCTGCGAGTAAATAAATGCTTGATCTTAGGTTGGCACTATAGTTGTTTACGTTATATTTTACAATTTAGTTGTAGCTAATCAAGGTATAGGGCTGAAATCGTCCTGAATATAACGGAGAAAACCAAGAGTATCGACTCTTTGAAATACAGAACGGGATTGCATGTACATCCACATGTCGCGCGTGTACTTCAGTTTCAGCAAGAATGAATATTTTAGACTATGACACGAAATTTCACCCCAAATGTTTATGATTGCATTGTAAAGATCACTTAAAATGACTTAATAATTTCTTTTATAGAATTTTGGTAACTTGCTTCCTTTGCAAGATATTCAAATTTGTTTCATATGCAAATATCACCGGTGTGACATCACATCGCATAATGACATTTTGAAAACGCGATATTTTACGTTGATAAAATATTTTTACAAACTAATACAGAGGGTTAATTACCAGTTATGAAATTAATACATATACAAGGGCAATTTTTAAGTTTTTTAGATACGTACTCGTCAAGAAAACTATACTTTTCTGAAAACCCATTATGTGATGTGATGTCACACTGGTGATATTTGCATATGAAACAAAGTTGAATATCTTGAAAAGGGAGCAAGTTACCAAAATTCCATATATAAAATAAAATTATTAAGTCATTTTAAGTGATCTTTACAATGCAACCATAAACCTTTGGGGTGAAATTTCGTGTCATAGGCACTTTAACTAAAAAAAAATAAGAATTTAAACTATGTGGTGGCGGGAATTTTCAAGTATTATTTCCTTGTTTTTAGATATGACGTTTGCTCACGAAGGAAGCGAAACATTGACAAACGATCAACTCGTGAACTTTACTAAGATGGTATGAATATTTTAGAACTGTTAATTAAAATTAGACAACAAAGCCGAGTTGTCTATGAGCGAATAGTCAACGAGGCGAAGCCAAGTTCACTATTCCGCTCAGAGACAACGAGGCTGAGTTGTCTAATTGTTTTAGTATAAACGACATAAAGAAAACTGAATTTTTAACTTGATTTTTATGTAAAATAATAAATTTTTAACGACACGAGCGTTTAAATGGCTTCCTTTGCCTTTGGCGACATTTCGCCTCAGCCTTGTTGACAACTAATCAGTGTTGCGAATGCCCAAGAATGACTTGATAAATACAACTTGCGAGTTTTAAAAAAGTTAGAAAACATGTCGTTAAACAGTAAAATAGTAAGGGGTTGTTATACCAGGCTTGCCAGCAAAGTTTGGCTAATAACCTACTAGTAGCGTAGCCAATCAGAACGCACGATACATGATACATGATAGCTTACTACTAGGTTTATACTAATTAATTATATCCACTTTTTCAAACAGATGCATGCATACTAGTCATGCAAATACATTTTCACCCCAACTAAACCTGACGTCAATCCCCCGTTTAAATGCTCGTTGTTCTACAGTATAGAAGAGCGTTCGAATAAGTACGATTGCATGTAGCTTAATTAAGAATTCTTGCAAAAAACGCAAATTGTTTATATATAGAATTATGTTTATAATAAATACATCACAAACTGAATTGACTTTTTAGTTATTTTTGAAGAAGATATGCATGACTTTTGTTATTGTCGTTCGCATTTCTCGTTCAAACCATCTCAAACAATCCGCCTTTTATTCCGTTCCGGCAAAGCATGAACATGTAAACAATGATACCCTTACTATCATTAATTGCAATACAAGCAACATTTTCTAATTTCTTGCATATACTTGTTCTTTGTAGAGACTCGTAGCATCAACCCTTAGATTGATACAATTCTGTAGAAGTAATCCATTAAGTAAGTATTAACAAGTTGATTTAAGAAAGAGAGTTATGAAGCTTAAGTAATAAATTAGTACTAACAGAATTATTCTAAGTTAGGCCCAATTTCACACCTGTATATTCATTTCAGCGTAGCAGTATTTAGTTTATGATTTTTTCGCATTTGCATGTTTTTGTATTGATTTACACAACTTTTATACTTCATGTAGCTACTCTATATATATGAGTTTTAATATATTTTCAATAATTTCCAGCTGTCGACCCTCCAACAATATCGAAAGGATTGCGCGAAGTTTACAAATATGTGAGGTAAAAGATTATATGGATTATATATAGCCAAATTATATTAATAACGTATGCATAATTATTGAATGTAAAAGAGAGAACTGTCACATCCTTCACCGGAACTACCAAACGAAAACATTCATTGTTTGATTTATTATCAATATTTCTGCCAATCAATATTTGGTCGGCAACGAATACTTTCATATGGTTAATCCCTGTTGTGACGTCACCAAAATGAGATCAGAAGTTTATCCAAGATGGCGGATATCTCATTACTTCAATCTATCTACTAATAAAAAATTTATGTACAAATTTGATTTTTCAAAGTATGCGTCATAACATAAACAGTCCCAGGAAAAGCATTGCCCATGCCCGCGCGAGAGTGGAAAGTTTCAATTGATCAGTCAGTCCATTGTAGGCTCTGTACGGTCTGTATAATTCTCGCTAGACAACTGAATATACATTACCAATATATCATTCCAGACAACTTCAAGTTATTGACAATCAGGAGAGGCTTGATCAGTTGGCGTTGGATACAGATTTTAAACCATCATCACCGACGAAATCTCAAACATTATAAGATCGACAGAGTAATAGATATATTAGTCGGACATGCAGTGGGTTTCGTGCCTACATACTATAGGTTATAAACATGCGGCAAAAACACATTGAATGTGTTTTACTACACGGTCTCTACCTACGGTTTATATGCAAGTATCAACATGAGCTTAGATAGAGTTGCCTTGGCAGATTACTTCACTCGACTATTGGATGTTCTCCATAAATGGACCATAATTCCCTGGCGATATAACTGTACATTTTACTTAAGACAATGCAATCACAAAAAGAACCCAAGAAGACACAACATACTGTAACGGAGTATTTCCTGTCAACGCCCAGCACGGACTCGCACCCTTCACAGTCATTCATTAAGTCAGTCTCAAGAAATAGCAAAAGGATTATACAAAGAGCTACACGTTTTCCAAACTGAGATAAGCCATACAGCTTCAAAAACATAGGCAGAAAATTACGACGTTTTGAGCTATAGTAGTTATACTTAGGAACCTTCTGTCGAAACGCCGAAAGCCTCTCCCACCCCTTATAATCTTTTCAGAATAACAAATACGGTTTCCTGTACATCGCGACCAACATAAACCACCAAGATAAAAGGATTTATAAATTAAGTTAGGGCAGTTTCTAGAAAAGGATGCTTTCCGGGTTTTTTAAGCTCATTGCTTCATGAACGTTGTCTGAGGTCTGTAGTCTCGTTGGGTGTTGTGTTGCACATTTTCAAGAAATATATTGTACTCTTTGTTGCAGTCTTTCCCAAATGGCCACGTTTTCATGTGGTTATTTCCTAACGTTTCGTGCACAACAGGTTTAAGAACAGGTTTATGATTGGGTTCGAAGAGAAACGTATTGGTGGACGAAACGTGGGAATATAAACTTCATATCCAAAACATGGAAACGAGGCCATTGGAGAAAAATTACAGTAAAGTCAAAGTGCGTAGTCTGCCATGAAGCGGCTGTATTCTTTGATTCAATACAGTACGAATAACATGACGTAGCCCGATACACAGCATTATTGCATATAACAACAACTTTGTAAAACCTTGGTATAAGCTTTGTGCATACATGTCATGAGACTTTTAGAATACATGTACAGTATATGTGATATATATGTAAATAATACGGAACATTTAGAATATTGTGATAGCTTTTAGAGAATGTATACTATTTATGGTGTACGCGTTTGTATGCGCGTCTTCATAATAATGTAATTAATAGGAATGTCTAAAATGGGGGATTTACCGAGGACTTGCTTGAAATCAATCGAAATTTATTTGGTATCATATAGTCTATAGTTGGAAAAATGATGAAAATAGTTCTGTCGGACGAATAGCATGTAAACATCGGGATTCCGTAACTTTGGGCTTGAATTTGGGCCAGTGGAATTGCAATAGTATTCTGACTTCTTGCAAACAGGGTCAGGTAAACTTGCATGTTGTCTATCTGAGAGAACAAGAGAGTTGCTCCATAATTGCAATGACTTTTTGGTGGGAATAAAGGTTAACCCTTTAAGTGGTAATGCATCCTACTTTAACAACATTTTTACCCCATCTGGTTTTGAGTATGGATAATGGATTTTAATTTTTGTGATTTCATTGTGCTGATCATTATCCCATAAATCACCCTATTTATACGCTCGTCTTGAGGCTGTCGACTAGATTTTTTTGCAATCTTGAGTTGAAAATTTAGCTTTTTTTCCTATTTTTTTCAAAATCAGGATTTTTGCACTAAGCCGTGTTTTCAAGGATTAATATAAACGTTCTAAAGGTGTCTTTGAATATAAAAATGCATGAAAACAAATTTTAAACCCATGCCGCCGATTGTTTAGTTTTTCAATTTCATCTGTCCAGGGAGTCGAAACAACTTGCATCTTCAAAAAAAGTTCAATTTCGCCAATACTATTTCGTCGTACAAATAGATACTTTATATAATTGCCTGATTTCAGTTTAAGGTGGAAAGAACGAATTTAAATTCTTGCAAATCTACTGTTTTCTTCCCAAAAAAGACGCCCATAAACTTGTTTTTGCTTATTTTAATAATTTTTGAAAGAATTTCTCGCGATCGCCCACAATTTACTGACCAACAACAACAAAATTCTCACCACTGATTCCCACCACCTGTCACCGGTGGCCTCAATTTGGCGTCAGCAAAGGCCATTGGTAAAGGCCGAAATCCGCCATGTTTTTATAATAATCCTTTGCCAAGTGCATCTAATATGACGGTGTCGATGATTACGTAAATTGAAAACCACACATTCAACCACGGACTCTTTACGTACAGTATCATGTTCTTCTCGGTTTTTACGTCTACTCTGGTTGCGACCAGAGTAGACGAAAAACCATACTGATAAATAATAATAATTAATAATAATAACTTAATTTGTATTGCGCAAGTTCCATTCAAATATGCTCACATGCGCATAACAATAATATAAAAACAAAATCTAAATATTTACATAAAAGATAAAAGATTTTTTTTCTGTGTGGGTGTAGTGTACACAGGTGAATATGATATTTGTGGTGTTACTCTGAGTGTATATCCACACCGGGCGAGCTTGAAAAATATGCCCGGCCACGGTGGGATTCGAACCTACGACCTTTGGAATACTAGCCCAATGCTCTTCCAACTGAGCTACGCGGTCAGGACGGTTCGAGTAAGTGATATTTCGGAACAGAATCTAGTTCCTTCGATACCAATGTATTCTAGTAATATGAATTTTTTCTGTGTTGGTGTAGTGTACTCATATTCACCTGAGTACACTACACCAACACAGAAAAAATTCATATTACTAGAATACATTGGTATCGAAGGAACTAGATTCTGTTCCGAAATATCACTTACTCGAACCGTCCTGACCGCGTAGCTCAGTTGGAAGAGCATTGGGCTAGTATTCCAAAGGTCGTAGGTTCGAATCCCACCGTGGCCGGGCATATTTTTCAAGCTCGCCCGCGGTGTGGATATACACTCAGAGTAACACCACAAATATCAGATAAAAGATAGTTAAGACAATCCAGACTATTCATTAATAATCAGTTTTGAGTATATATACTATTAATTTCGTAAAAGATACATTATTATTGATAAAATCACACTATTTTGTTATTAAATATTATAATAAGCTTTCCCAAATAAGTGTGTCTTTAAGAGTTTCTTGAAGCTTCAATGGAATCAGCTTGCTGAATGCGTGAAGGTAAATCATTCCACAAGTTTGGCGCTGCACATCCAAACGAACGATCACCAAGAGTCGGCAATGTTTTGAGGGTAGTCTTCTGGAGCAAAAGTTTCGAATTCGATCTCATGCTATAAGACGATGGAGGTTTGATAGTTATAAGCTCAGAGATATAGTCAGGTGCCAATCCATGAAGTGCTTTAAAAACAATTAGTAGAATTTTGAAATCTATTCTAAACTTTACTGGAAGCCAATGTAAATCCATCAAAGTTGGAGTTATATGATCAAACCGTGAGACGTTACATATTAATCTCGCTGCTGCATTCTGCACACGTTGAAGTTTGTTAAGCTGATTCGCAGGCAAACCATAGTACAAACTGTTACAATAGTCTAAACGACTTGTCACAAATTAATTAATTAGTATTTGAGCAGTTTCATGTGTCAGGAACTTTCTTATCCGCCTGATGTTGAATAGGTGGGAAAATGCCGCCTTACAGGATCTGTTCACATTGGTATCACATTTCATTTGCGAATCAAGCCAAAATCCTAGATCTTTAGCTTCACCAGACGTTGTGACATAAGATTCGCCAATACACAAAGTATCAAAATTGACTTTTTCGAGCTGTTGTTGTGTACCAATAATAAAAAAATCAGTCTTACCGTCGTTAAGTTTGAGTTTATCATTTAGCATCCATGTTTTAATATCATCAATACAATTTTCCATGACAGTAACCGCAGACAGTTGTTCAGACATTGAATCTGGTTGAAATGAAACGTACAGTTGATTGTCATCGGCGAAAGCATGGGCATCAGAAGTGGGTCATGCAAGACACGATCCTTGAGGTACGCCATTTTTGAGTTCACAACGCTTAGACATGATGTACCACCATTTACAGAGATGAATTGCGAACGGTTAGAAGATAGGAGGAAAACCATTTTAGTACTTGGTCTTGGATGCCAAAACTGAATTTCAGTCGTTCGAGCATTATATGATGGTCGACAGTGTCAAATGCAGCGCTCAGATCCAAAATTACGAGTAAGGTAATATGCTGACGGTTCATGTTCATTAAAATATGCTTAACACGTAGTAAGGCCGTCTCCGTACTATGATACTTGCGATAAGCCGATTGTGCCTTTGGATAAAGTTGGTATAAATTCAAGTACTCATTTGTCTGATTAAAAACTACACGTTCTGTTAATTTAGATGTAAATGTCAGATTACTGATAGGGCGAATATTCTCAAATATGTTTTTGATTTTTTAAGCTGTGGCCGCTGAACTAATGCTTGCTTCCATTCATCACAAAACACACCAGATTGCAATGATAGATTGATCATCCTGGTAATCACAGGAAGGAGAATATCTTGACATTTTAAAACCAATGAAGTGGGCATTGGGTCCAAAGTACAGGATTTTTTACTTGATTTAGATATCAAGTCTTTGACATTTTCTTCATTTAAGATGTCAAAGGAATCAAATCGGGACATCAGCTCAGTAAATTCTGGGACAGATCTAGACGAATGGCCTGTTTCAAGGGCAGAAGAATCAAACTCAGCATGGATGCGCTCAATCTTCTGGACAAAAAAATTCCCCAATATCATTAGCCAGAACGTCAGGGCCCCCATATTCAGGAAACATCTAATTACAAATCAAGATGGCGGATAACAAATATCTACAAAAATGGAGGTGGGGGAGAAAAACCGGACAAAAAAGATTATTTTTATTTGCCATTTCTGTTAATCACTTTTCTTGATAATAGTTATTCTCAATTTAGTACCCTACTGTACAGTATATATGCGTGCAGACCGTTTCGTTCGTAAAAATAAAAATGTAACCAAGAATTCTTAAAAAAGTTTCGACTATAGTCTGTGCTGTATTCATGCAGACACAACTTTCGCTGGTCCAAAAGTTTTATTGTGATCCGCCAAGTATTTGACGTATGCACATTCTTGGGATTCTTTCTGTTTGTATGTGGCACGATATACGCTTTCACCAGTCATATCTCCCTTGGTACCACTTAGCTCTTGCTTTGGCTTGCAGCTGGTTCGTGGACGTATTCCTTCATGTTGCATGAAGTCTCTTGCTGTAACTGAATCGCCTTCAAACTTCTGAATTGGCTTTAGATAAAATCCTTGTTCGTGAAAATCTCCGTATCTTTTCAACGAACCCATGCCGTCGTATTTTGGGAATTGGGTTTTGTAAGAGGTCTCGGCGGCTAATTTTATTTTACTTGAAGGGATATTTTGCACAGGTTTTGTAATACGAACACGTGTGGTTTCCTTGGGTTTGAAATCAGCCATCGTTTGCGTGGTAGTGTGGAATTTTTCCTTTGGTAGTGTATAATGAGATTCCTTCGGTTTGGCTTTGACAAAGCTCACATCCCATTGGCCTTTGTATCTTTCTCTGTTCGTAGTCGTGAAATCATGAGAAGTGTTCATTCCCAGGTTGATCGTTGCTGGATATGGGGCACATGGTTTGACTGGAGCGGGAAACGCACCTATAAAATATAGGATATTAAAATGAGATTAATCTTACCTGTCGGTGGGATGGATTATTAATTTATTAACTCCATCTGCTAGTGGATTATGAGCTCCTAGCCAGTTGCAGGCTTTAATATTTTCTTTTTTGTAATTTAATAACTGATGCGACACCAATCCGTACCCTTCAGTAATTGCAGTCTGAGAATGCATGCCCCTAGTTTAGACTCCAAAATCTTTAAGGTGGCTTCATTCACTGATCTAGTCACTTGTCTAGTCTAACAAGTGTTGCTATAGGGGGGGGGGTTTTCGGATAGTCGAATTTCACAGAAAAAATTGTTCGGATTTCGGATCTGACGAATATTTTACACGGATTTGCGGATCTTATTAATACTGCGGATTGCGGATTTACCAAATATTTTGGCTCGGATTGTGGATTTAGCTTGCAATTTAGTTCGGATCCTGGATTGTGACTTCATAGTAGAGCTTTTAGCGGATTCAAATTTAGACAAAACAATCGTCGGATCGCGGATTTTGCTTCAAATTTGGGCGGATCGGCAGATTTGTATACCCCTATTCACTTCCTATAGATATTTCTCATACCACCTGGGCATAAATCTGTATTCTCTCGCTAATATTCTGTATTCTCTCGCTTGTAATATTCCGTTCTCCCAATCAAATCAAAACTCATATTATGCACTTGATATCTACTCTCGTGGAAAGTTTTGTTTTCCCGAGATGACAAAAACTGTATAGACTATAGTGTAAACGAGTTCAAAATTAAAAGAACCTTCTTAAGCGGTTTCAACAGCATATCCGTGTTCCCTGTTGTGTATTTTTCTTCTCTATTACATTCCTTATTTCAACACAAACTTGAAAAATCGTAGTTATAAATAAACTTATGAGTTGTGCCATTTTGTTTATTTATGTAATATATACGTAGCCGGTCGGGGCGGGAAACAATTTTTCACTTGTTGCTCGGCAGGATATATTGCGTTTATCTAAAGCCACGTGACCACAAATCAGCCAATCATGTTTGGTGTTCACCCGGCCTAGCCATATAACAAAAGCTATTATTTAAAAAGCTATTATTTACTTTATATGTCTCTCAGTACCTTTCTTATAACGTGGAAAATCTCTTTGTGCTTGGGTGGTTGCGTTGAATTTGACACGTTCTGAAAGCTTTATGGCCGGGTTTTTTACTTTCGGTGAGCGTTTTAAATCTTCTTCGTGTTTCTTGTACGTAGCCTGATGCACCGTTTCATGCTCGTATTCGCCCTCAGTTCCTAGTGTGATGGCGGCTTTGCGAGGTCCGCAAAACTCACTCTTCGGTGCAAACTTTCCTTGATACGACTCTTGATTAACTGTGCGCAAATTTTCAGAATTCGGGTCTGGGTAAAGTATTGAACCCATGAACGAAGGAAGTTCGGAAAAGCCCATCGATGGCTCGGCTCTCTTCGCTTGGAATGTCACATTGTGGGTAGTCTCATCTGAGAACTTGTACTTGGGTTGCTGTATCGCACTGTTAACCGGGCGAGTGAGTTTAACTTCACTAGGTTGGCCACGATTGGTATAGGCAACAGCGTACGAGGTCTTGCCGTCAAATTCTCCATTTGACACTCCCTGGTGATTGTCTTGAAGCTAAACGTTTTCACAGTAAAAAATAGAAATAAAGACGTTTCAATAGATTTGCAAGCCTAACAAACCTACTCAATTGAGCCAAAATGATTTTGGCTCAATTGAGTAGGCTTGATAGCCTTGCAAGCCTATTGAAACGTCTCTATTTCAAATCACTCAAAGCTATAGTCCGATAATCATGCCGGCTAGCCCGCGTGCAGGCCCAAGGGAAGAATAGTGAGCCTGCAAGTAAGGCCCGGTATTTTGTACTTTCCGCGTTCGCCCACGAACGCGGCATTCTGATTGGCTGTTTGCTGTTGGATTGTATAATATATAGATTCATCATACAAAGGCTCTCGATAAGCTTAAAATTCGAAAATTGATCACTGTTTTCGATTAAAAATGGAACAAGAACGGACTGTTTATTGTTTACTTGAAGGAAGAGATGTTTTTGCCGTTATGCCAATGGGGATTGCTTGTCGATCGTGAAGTGTTGGAATAGCAACATTACGACTGGGGTAAACTATAGTAACCTTTAGTACTTTACTTGAGTTTCATTAATTTCAAACAGACTTGATACGTTATATGTTCCTCAAGAAAATTATCTTTTGGTTAATGTTGACTCTGTTTTTGCACTGAAGAAAACAGCGCTTTTCGCGGTGAAGATTTAGAGGCAGTTGCATGCATGTAAGCCTATTCGAAACACTTTGCGATTTGCAAGGCTTCGCTGAGAGAGCGAAACAGAAGACGGTAATTGCCGTTTGAAACGAAACGATCTGGACTCTGAACGCTCTCTTCTTTTGTAGAGTTCTTTACCAAATGAAATAACTGAAATAAATTTCGTACTTTCCGCCGCCAACAAGAATTGCACACACGATCTGATAAGTGAGACAATTTATTTATAACAATGGCGACAGCGAAGCACACATTAATGCTGATGTGGTCGAACGACTTCCCTCACGATTTGAAGTTTGAGACTGATTTTCTGTTGAAATTCGTCCTAATTTGCCTGTTCCGATTTTAGTTGAAAATGAGCACTTGCAAATTTGGCAATTACTGACTGCGTTGCTTGCTTTATTGGAGTTAAAACACAGCCATTGAATAAGCAGAGAAAACCCCGCAACATTTGAATAAGCAGAGAAAACCCCACAGCATTTGAAATAAGCAGAGAAAACCCCGCATCATTTTAATGCGAGTTTGTTTGTTACTATTTGGGTTGCTGTCATTGACATTGATTCTTTTTTGACAATTGACGCGCGAATTGGGGCGTGTTATGAAAAATACCGGGCATTGCTTGCAGGCCCACTATTCTTCCCTTGGGCATGCACGCGGGCTACATGCCGGCCAGGTTATTAAATCATGAAATCAACTCATTAAATCAGACGATTGTTAACTAAAACAAAATAATAAACGCAATAAATAACGCAATATAAATGTAATTACTATATAACTTGAAAATGATGCATGCTGCATGTAGCATCGAAACGTCGTTTAATAAATGTAATATCGCTATAATTTGTTTCAAGATATTTAAATTAACAAAATAATGGCGGAGAGTGTTTACTTGAAATTTTGATTATATACTTTTGACGTCTGGATTAATTTATGATACTTCATTCTATATTAATTAAGTACTTAATATACACGTTTTGTGTATTAGATATAAAACGAATGGGTAATAACGCTATTTTCATCCATAAGTAGTTTCGGAGAAACATATCGGCAAAATAGCCTCCTCCACACATTTTCCTCCCATTTTTTGCTCTCCCCAGTCCTAAAACTATTTCGCTTGAAGCTCGGCCAAAGTTTGATTTCCAAAGTTTGATGTACTATTTAAAAAACGAGCAGGAGTGTTTTATTAGGTTTAAAGCCATGAGCGCGCAGCGCGAGTGGCTTTAGACCTAATCAAATACGACCTGCAAGTTTTTTAAATGGCTTCAAAAACGTTTGCATAATAAGTCAAATCTTTATATAAAAATCTTAATATAAAAATCTTTATATAAAAATCTTTATATAGTTTGCATAACAATGGTCTTTTGTTAAAGTGTTCTTTAGCTGGTATAAAGACGTATGCACGTGACTAATTTCTTACTCAAGATTGAATAATTGCTTCATGAATTATTTGAAAGGTTTTAATAACACGTTGACTTCCAAGTTCCAACCGACGTTCCTGGAAAAGGGTTAGTATAGGAACAGTCCAATATGGTAGATTGGTAGGGTACTGAGGCGCATATACAATTATACGTAAGCTCAGCTGATCTGTACCTACCTTGATAGGTCTGGGAGGGCCTTCAAAATCACCATGCTGTACATACTCTGTGTTAGTTATGGTTCGAAAATCCATAGGAGGTGGATTTGGATTTCGTAGCCGTGGTAACGGACGTCTTATCTTGCGAACAAAGTTGCAGGGCGGAGCCTGATACGAGGACTGGTAATCTGTTGAACATTCTTTCAGACCAGATCGTTTGAGTACAGTTTTGACTTTATCTGTGGTTTTCGTACAACCCTGGTGGCGATGATGCCGACTGGTGAAAACGAAAAAAGATGTAACTGAATTGAACTATATGCTTAGCGTGCTAAATAAAAAATACACATTGTACGTGTTCGAATTGTTCTGCATTTCAGCAAATAATTCGGTATGTTCAGAAACAGATCTGCATGTAATTGAATTTTATATATGTATTTCTAGTGGAGCAGTGTTCACATATATACTTGAAACGTGGCGAAGCCGTTTACTAAATGAAAGTTCAAAATTTGTGTTAGGATTGAACAAAAAATAATTAATTCAAATTGCATTTGATTCTGCGGTGCTACAAACAATTAACATGTTGTTTAATTCGTCAGTGTTATGTAATTCTCGCTGATGCATCCTTTTCAATGGGGAATCAACTCGATGAACAGCAAGTCAGTTTTCGACATTCGATGGTAAAGACCGTTTCAATTTCTAACAGTAGTGCTGAAATGTACCATGCAGCAACCATGCGCATTCTTAAAGACCATGTTGTTGAGTTCAATATAAAACTGTATGTTATCCAAATATTAGTATGACGTAATACTGAGAGACAAATGCATGATGGGATTGTTGTGTTGTTAGTTGAACTCCCTCGTGAAAGTAACTTACTGTACAAAACTACATTTGTAATAAACGTAAAAATAAAGAGTGATTTCATTACAAATACGGTGTTCTAAAGTCATGGCTTCAACACATGTAAAGTCCATTCTGCGCATACGTTCTGCGCAGGCCTACATTCCAATGGTCGGGACCCGACCATTGGAATGTTATTAATATTTCGCACCTTCCGAACTTTCTTGAATTGTATCTCTCAGTCTGTATTTATTTACAAGCATAGCGAACCAGAAGAGTGTTAAAACTGATTCAGTATAATATATATCTAATCATATTTCACAACTGTAGCACTGAGTTCAAAATGTAAACAAAGCGTTTGTTTACATTACGGACTTTACATGGCCTTTAATTGTACGTACAACTATACGCTAGTCAACCTTTCTGCGAACCGCAACGTACACTATACTGCAGCATTTGTTTTCGTACGTGTTTTGACAAGAAGCACAGTCGCATTCACGACTCGACGTTTTGACGCTCCAAGTTAATTTAGGACTTGGGCATTCAAAACTCACCATTAGGGAATTATTGAAAGGCCACTTTCATTATTTGGGTTTTAAATGTTTTAAAACATTCTGTCATTGATAACATAAAATTAATTAAGTAGGTTCATTTTAATTAGCTAGCTGGTAGGCTTCTCTCTGTGAAAATGATTGGATACATGGTCACTCTCCTCCGCAGAGCCTTGCACCGTTTCGGGCGTAAGTCCGGGGCGAGGATACTAATTCCGCCCGGCTATTTACACCCGGGGAAAGGAAAGCATTAGCGAAGTCTAAAGTTCATCAATGATCGCGGGTGTGGGTCACTGCGCGTGGGTGGTCATCTCACTGATCTCAAAATATGGCTGTTTGCCAGGAATGAAGAAGGCAAAAATATAAAAAATACATGTAAGAAAGCCTAGAAAATCGTTTCACATAACAAATTTTAAAACTTTATTCATTTTTTAAACGTAAACATTTATAAAGAATTAATTTTGGGTCTGGGTAAAGTATATATTGAACCCACAGAGCCTGAAATAATTTTAAAATTTGTCGGGAAAAACTTCCGATAAAAACGAAATTTGACGGGAAATTTGCAAAATTGACCGGAATTTTTTTTTAGTTTAGTTTGACCAAGTCCACCCTCCC